AAAATGAATAAAGTAAAGGTCCATCAACAACAGCAAAACATTTTTTGAAGAGTGATGTGTCTTTGTACATCAAGTGCTGGCTGGTAGCCCTCTGGGTGACCTCAGGAGGGACCCTGAGGAGCAGATGAAAGTGCAGTGGACCCCCACTGACCAATGCTCTGATCCATCATGCTGACAGGAGAAGCCTACACTAAAACCCAAGGAACAGCCCGGCATGGTGGCCCACCCCTGTGATCCCAGTGACTCAGAGGCTGAGGCAGAAGGACGGCAGGCTCAAGCCAGCTTCAGCAAGTTAGCAAGGCCCTAGAAACTTAGGTCCCCTCTCCCTGAAAACAAAGGGTCTGGGGATGTGGCTCAGTGGTTAAGTGCCCCTGGGTTCAATCCCTGGTAACCAACCAACCTTCCAGATGAACACTTGGAGGTTCCTGAGGACAGTGCCCAGGCAGAGCCTGGAAGATCTAGGGCCCTTCTCCACCCTCTTCCCCGGTGTCTCTTCATCTGCGTTGCTTAGAGTACACTTTATGATAAACCGGCGAATGTGATTCCCTGCATTCTGTGATCCACTGGCACAGATTACCTGAACCAAGGAGGGGGTTGTGGGAACCCTGAATTTTTGCCGGTGGTCAGAAGCACAGGTAAGACCCTGGAGCTGGTGGCTGACATCCAAAATAGGGCCGAATCCTGAATCCAGGCCTGGAGTCGGATGAGATCTCCAGGCAAACAGTGTCATCTGAGTTTGAGGCCACCAGCTGCTCCATCGTTGAATAAGAGAGCAGGACACACCGATTTTTTGCTGTTGTTGTATCATCAGACCCTGGCCGGGTGCCAGCTGCCACACACACAGGCCAGGGAAGGCTTCCTCATAGCATGGGGCCAGGTCTCGACAGCAAATGTCCCAAGGCAGCAAGGTGGGTGTGTACAGCACTTTTAAAATTAAGCCTTAGGGGCTGGGGTTGTGGCTCAGTGGTAGAGTGCTGGCCCAGCATGTGTGAGGCACTGGGTTTGATTCTCAGGACTCTCTATAAACAAATAAAATAAGGAACTAAACATCAACAACTAAAAAAAATATATTAGAAAACCCCCTCAGCCTGAGAAGTCATGTCTTGCCAGGCCCCTGTCCTCACCGGGACACATCACAAGGTTATGGAGCAGGAGGTCAGTGCCCCTTTTGGAAAACCCAGTCTGCCACACAAGGGCATCAGCACCATGACCCTGTGCAGCCCAGGACCCTCCCTTCCTACTCACAGTGGAGGCCCAACGCCCCCAGGAAGATCCTTTAGAGGTCAAGTTCATATTCAAGAGGCAATGAAGGGACAGTAGAGGGACAAGGGAAGAGTCTCAGAGAGATGCAGCTGGACAGCAGGCCCAGCCTGTGACAAAGCTGGTGCTCATGCACTCTCGCTAGCGACTGTCTGCACAGGCCCCCTCAGTCCTCGGGGGGCTTTCTTCAGCAGGAGGGGGCACTCAGGCAGAGCAGAGGTGAGAACAGGCAGTGTCCTCTCCGTTCAGCTGGGTGGCCAGACCTGGGGAAGGAACAGGGCTGCGGCTGGTGAGAATCTAGTGCTCACTGCGTGCTGAGCACCCTCCGTGTATTTTGGGGATAAGATCTCATTTGTCTTTCCCAAGGACTCTAGGGTAAAAAGAGAAACCAAAGGTTCAAAGGGCAGGAACCTTGTGGGGAGAGGTAGGGAACACCGAGACCAGGGAGAACCTTGCTCTCAGGCTTCCGCTTCACTCTGGGTCCCTGGTGTGCCTGATTTCTCTCTTCCCCAGGTGAGGCCCAGAACGCAGGGACAGGCCCAGGCCCTCAGAGGAGATTCCCTGCAGGAGAAGGGGATGCTGTGGACACTGGGGGTACCTTCCAGATTGACAGCCAAGCAGAGGGTGCACCCCATGTAGACTTCAGGGGTTACGGGCAGACTCTCCCCCACCCCACCTCAGTGCCCCTTGAGAACAGGAGGACTATCTGCTCCGTGCTGGGGTTCCAGAGGGTTTCCCCAAGGTGAAGCCAGGGGCTGTGCTTCCTCTGGACTAGGGCCAGACCAGGGTTGACCTCGGGGGGCAGCTTCAGATGGGCCCCCAGGACTGGCTCTCCAGACCTCCCCCTGGGCCAGAAGCCCCCAGGACCCTGCTGGCCCTGGCTATATTTCCAGTCTTCTCTTGGCCCCCGTGGCCCTTAGGATTCTGGGGATATCAATCCCTCCACCTGGACCTTGCAGAGCTTCCTTCCCATGAAGGATCCATCCTGTAGGCTTCAGGACCACCCAGAGGAGACAGAGGCTTCTCCACCACAGCCTACCCCTCCTTTCTGTCTCTCCAAAAGTGGGTTGGCTTTTTGTTGGTGTGTGGTAGGCCTCCTCCACTGGACTGGGAGCACCAGGAGGGTCTCCAGCCCTCGGGGCTCCAGGATCTCAGGAACCCTCCACCATGGATGCAGGACGTCCGTCAGGCCATGTATGCCGGGGACCCTGAGTGCTCAACAGAAAAGCAGGGCCCAGGGTGTGATTCAAAATGAGAACAACAGCAAGCCACAGACAGAAACTTTTTAACAATTGCCCTCAGAAGAAAGGCACATCACCATTACATCCTTCTACCTGGCTTGGGTCATCACCCTGTGACACTGCCAGTCTGCCCACATCAGATTGCCCTCTGGTGTCACCCAATGCCACCAACTGCCTGCCGAGCTCAGCCAGTCACCTCTTTCCAGCCCAGTGGCTGGCGTTGGTTCTTTCGTCCCAGCAAAGCTGGGTTCACGTCCCTAGAGGCCCAGGCCTGCACGACATGCTGCACACGTGCAGCCTGAACGAATTTGGAGACTGAGGAGTTGCGGAGCTCGGGCTCCCCACTCCTAGAGGGGCTTGTGAAATTTCCTTTCAGACTTACTGCACCGCCGCGACGGACCGCATCCCCCGTGCCCTCCGGCTTCCACGCGGCGGGTAGGTGAGCCTACAGCCCGAGCACCCCTCCTGGCTCGCGCCGGGAACCGGCCAGAGCGCGGCGTCGCGGTCCCACTGTCGGGGCTGGCGGAGCAGGCGCCGCAGCGGGTGAGTGACAGCTGGGGAGGCGGGGTCGCACGCCCGCGGAGCTGAGCTGGAGAGGCGCTTTGCCCATTGGCCAACGCTAGTGTGGGAAAGGACGCCCGGCCGGGTTCGCAGGCCCCGCGGCGGTGCGGCCTTATAGAGCCGGCCACGGTCCCGGTTCGCGGGCTTTTGGCCGGAACCCGCCAGGGGGCGCAAACGTTCTGCCCGGCACCAGAGCGCGGCTGCAGGATGCCGGCAGACACCCCCGAGAAGCCGAGCGCCTCGCCGCTGGCCGGAGCGCAGGCCAGCGCCAGCCCGACCCCAGATAAACCCCGCAGCGCGGCCGAGCAGCGGAAGGTGGGTTCCCGCCAGGCGTGGGGGGTTCGGCTGGGGGAGGGGCGGCCGAACGCGGGACTCAGCCGCTGCCCGACCCGCAGTCCTCCAAGCCCATCCTGGAGAAGCGGCGCCGAGCGCGCATCAACCAGAGCCTTGCTCAGCTCCAGACCCTCATCCTGGACGCGGTCAGGAAGGATGTAAGTCGGGGCCGAGAAGGGGGAGTCCAAGGACTGAGGCTAGCAGAATGGGACGTGGCTGAGTTACAGACCACCACCCTGTCCCGGCCCCCAGAGCTCCCGTCATTCGAAGCTGGAGAAGGCCGACATCCTGGAGATGACGGGGATACATCTGCAAAATCTGCGTCGCTTTCAGGTGACAGGTGAGGCGCGGGTGGCAGCGGCTAGGGGGCGGGAGGCGCACCGGGCCACCGCCCTAGACACGACAGCTGGTCTCTGCTGCTCCCGCAGCCGCACTCAGCTCGGACCCCGCTGTCCTGGGCAAGTACCGTGCAGGCTTCAACGAGTGCCTGGCCGAGGTGACCCGCTTCCTGGCTGGCTGCGAGGGTGTCCCAGCCGAAGTTCGCTCCCGCTTACTCGGCCACCTGGCAGCCTGCCTGCTCCAGCTGGGGTCTTCGCGCCGCTCTGCCTCGCTGCCCGCCGCTGCAGACGAACCGGAGTCCGAGGTCTACGCTGGCCGCCCGCTGCGGCGCTCGTTCGACGGCCCCTTTCCCCTGCTGCGCCCAGGGGCCGCGTTCGCGCCGCTCCTGCCACCTAGGCTGACCCTGGCGCCTCCTGCCGCCCCCAGGATGGGGTCTCCAGGCCGGAGCGGACCCTGGAGGCCGTGGCTACAGTGAACTGCAGCGGGTCCTAGGGCCGCGGCCTTGGCCAAGACTGTAGCAGAGAGTATTTATTTCCAGAGGCTTGGGGTGGTTTTGTGGTCTCTGTGAACAGCCTGGTTCAGGCCCGCAGAGCGCCCAAGTTGGTGGTCTTCTGGCGGCTCGGCCGCCGGCTCCGGGCAGACGCGCCGGTGGGTGCCTCTTTTCCGAGGCCCCGTCTGCTCGCAGACCCAGCCCTTTCGTAGACTGGGTCCTCTAACGGCCCGCCCCGCAGCCGGGGCCTGCTTTGGGGCCGCCCCTGCCTCTGGAGCGTGGGGATTGCTTTGGTCCGCGGTCGGGCGGGCCACCCGCTCGGCGACACTGGGGTGGGAATGGGAAGCGTGCCCAGGGGGCGCAGGCAGGAAGGCTTCCCGGAATGGATCTCAGTACTGGAAGGCGGTCGCACGGCATCACTGGGCAAGTTTTCTTTAAGGGTACTTATCCCAACTTCTCCCGGACCCTGGGAGGTAGAGATCCGCCTTTTCATGCCATTGTTCCCCGGGAGTTGTCCTTCGCTGGGGTGAGGACTGTCTGGGAGAGCCTGGCAGATGGTAATCTGGACTCAGGAGACATTCCTTCTATGAATCCTGAGCCCCTGCCTTTGGAGGCAACTCAGGTCACCAGGCAGAAATGCCAGGCCACACTGGGCACGCACCCTGTGCACCCCTGCAGCCACAGTCCTGCTACCCTCAGAGCTGCTGCTGGAGGCTGGGCTCCAGGTGCTTGACTGCAGGGAGTCTTCCAGAGCCCTGTGCAAGGTGTACCCAGACCCGCTTCCCAGTGTGGCCGAATTCATCAGGCACTTTCCTGGCACCTGCCTGGATGGGCCATCAGGGAGGTGAGTCCCTCTACCACAGGCTTATCTCACCTCTTCCCACGGGTTTGCCTGGGTCCTCCTGGGCAGGACCATGGAACCTGGTAGAAGCCTCCAAGTCTCTACCAAGACAGTCACCCTACTCTCTGCCTCCCTGCCTCCCTGGGCTCCCGGGGCTGGGGCAGTGCCCCTGAACAGCAGGTCACCATGTGGGCCAGCTGCTGTACCCTGGGGTGTACGTACATGCAGGGACCCTGCTCCCTTTAGATCTGGGTGGAAGGAGAAGGTGGAGGCTGCCCTTGGCAGGAGGGTTGGAGGGATCTGCAGAGGGGTGACTGGAGGAGGGGAGATGTTCAGGGAGGGTAGGGCTCCTGCTGGGAACTGAGACTGGTGCGTGGGTAGGGGAGGCCACTTGCTCAGAGTTGGGTTCCAGACACCCTGCAGGGAAGTGGGACTCTCTGCCTGGGTGGCCAAAAAGAGGAGACCAACCAGGAGGCCACCTGTGAGGTTGGGCTTCAGATGCCCCCTCTCCCCAGAAGCAGCAGCATCATCCACCCCTGCCCCTTACTTCTTGATTCCTGGATCTGTTATGGGCACTGTTGCCAAAGGCATCTCTGTGGTGGGGACCACTTAGCCCTCGGGGGACTACTCTGGCTCCACAGGACCCTTACTCTCAGATGGGCAGACCTTCCTGATCTCTATTCCTTGAACTCCCCAATTTTCCCCCCACTCTCTATGTACCTCAGACCACTCCCCTGCTGCAGGCTTCTTCAGCTGTCTGGGTCCAGTGGGACTGTTCTCCCGCCAGCCACACCTGTGTCCTTTCAAACTTAGCACCTGCTCAAAACAGTGGGCTCAACCTCAGCCCACGCTGAGCTAGTCAATTGGTGTAAACAGTGTGCAGAATGGGAGTTGGGGTCTCTCTTGAGTCAATAGGTCCTAGGAAGCATAGCCTGGGCTAAAGCTGGGTCCCCAGCAGGGGACACTAAAGGGGTGGTTCTGGGTCTCCCAGGCTGCCCCCCTTCTTCGCAACTGAGAGTGGCTGGGGCTCAGGAGCAGTGAGTCCCCTGCATCTGAGTCTCAGCCTTTCTACACACTAGCCAGGACACTGCTTGACCCTGTTTCCTACCACCACTGTGTGGGCTGAGGCCATGTAGACCCTCATCAGGTGCTTTTCTGCAGGGCTGCCCTCATCGTGGGAGCAGCGCCCCCAAATGCAGGGTGTTCCCACTCTCAGGGGGCCTCTTCCTTTCCTCCCTACCCTTTTATATATTTCCTGTTTCTGAAGAGACCCTTGGGTCTTTCCTTGTCCCTCCCCCTCCCCCAGCTGTTCATGTCTTGGCTCTTGTCTTGCAGAGGCTTCCTGCTGAATAACAGATGGAGCCCCCTTTTCTGGGTGGAGGGGCACTGGTCATGGCCCTCCCAGTTCATCTCCAACAGCCCCCCTTCCAACCCCGAGCCTGGACTGGACCAAGGGTCAATAAGTGCTCAGTTCATGTGCCCTGTCGGCAGGCTACCTGCCTGGGTGGTGGGTCTAGCTGGGTCCTCTCCTGTGGCTTGGGGACTGAACAATGAATGACAACAGATTATAGGTCTTTGAAATCTGGAGAAGAACTTATCCCTATGGTGACAAAAGTTAGTGGCCAGGCCCATTGAACTCCATGCACTGGAGAATTGGGGCAGGGTCCGGGCTGGGGCTGCTTGGATTCCTGGCTAATGAGAGGCAAGGCCCACTGTTCCCCCTCCCCCTCCTCCCCTCACCTAGCATCTCTGCTCCAAGGCTGTCCGTTTCCTGCAGTCCTACCTGTGCCTGGATGCTCTCCCTCTGCTCCCTGGAACCCCTGGGCTACATCAAGGAAACCGGGGCCCTGGCCTGGCAGCCTCCTGGGCACCTCCAATAGTCTCCTCCATGGGCCACATCCCATGGCACCAAGGTTGGCCTCTGCGACAGTGGGGCCCTGGAGAGGGGACGGGCTGTCATTCAAGGCAAGGCTGCAGGCTCCTTCCTGTCTGCTCTGGGGGAGCCAGCTGCCCTTTCCATGGAGAGAGCAACAAAATAGATGGAGGGGCACTGGGCAGCAGTGGCCTCCTGCCAATAGCAATGACAGTGGGTTTAGACATGGATCCCTTGATGGGACCTTGACCGTGACAAGCCCTGTGCCAGCACCTCAGCATGAACTCCTGTGCACAGAAGCTGTGAGACCATAGCATTTGTTGCATGGAGCTGCTAATTTTTTAAATATTTATTTTTTTTTTTTAGTGTAGTTGGGCCTTTATTTTATTTATTTATTTTTATGTGGTGCTGAGGATGGAACCCAGGGCCTCACACGTGCTGGGCGAGTGCTCTACCACTGAGCCACAACCCCAGCCCCAAGCTGCTAAATTTTTGTTATGCAGCAATAAGTAACAATATTGATAAATTCTATGTAATTTACTGAATACATGCAAGTAGCATTAGCAGTACAGACCCCAGGGGTTAGAAAACGTGCCCAAGGGATTCCAGAGGCCATGGGAGTGAGGAAGAGGTTGCTGGGAGTGAAGGAGGAGCAGCCACTGTGGCCACTGTGATGTGCAGAACTCAGCTGGTGCTACCGCCTACTCTCACCTGGCACAGATTCCCCAAGTGCCTGAACAGCCTGGCGCCCCGGTGGCCGTGCCCCTGCCAGCCTTGGGGGTCCTGTCTGGCTGTAACCGAAGGGGCACCCTGGATCAGGGCAGGTGAGGACTCACAGGCCCCAGGTGAATGTGAACCTATGACTTGTGTGCACAGATATCAGTTGCTGTGATTACTGTGCCTCCTACCCTAGGCAGACAACCTCTCAGGTGGTCCTGCCACCCTTCTGCACAGACACACGTGACCACACTGTCTTGTCCAAGTGGGATACGGGGGCCACAGTGACAGAAGCATTAAAACAAATGTCCAGGGCTGGGGTGTGGCTCAGTGGTAGAGCACCTGCCTGGTATGTGTGATGCCCTGAGTTCGATCCTCAGCATTGCATACAAATAAAAAAATAAATACAAGATCCATTGACAACAACAAAAAATATATTTAAAAAAAAAAAAACCACCTCCATGGTCACCTCAGAGATGTTGCTGACATCCTGCCTGGTCTCAACACCTACCTGGTGGCTTCAGGCTCACCTGCCTGGCCCTACTGTGAGTCAAGGGCCTGAGGCATGTGTGGACAGGTAGGAGAAGGTCAGGGTAGGACACTCCCAGGAAGAGGGTGCACCTCGCTGTCAAGGGCCTCCTGTGGCCACAGGAGATCTTGCCTTTAGCTGGCAAAGCTTCCCCTGCTCCAACAGTCATCCACACAGCCCAGTGCCATGTCCACATGGGGGCAGATGTTTACCGATTGTTCATGACAGATGCAGGATAAATGAGGGATGGAAGTTTGCAGCAGGAAGCACATGTCGAACAGGAAACAGACTGAAGGGTACTTGTCCAGACAGACAACTTAGCAGTGGGGCCAAGAAGATACGAGATGCCCATGTGGTACTCTGTTTGTGTGTGTGTAAATGCAGAGAAAAAATTCTGATTAAATGCCTACATCTGGGCTGGGGATGTGGCTCAAGCGGTAGCACGCTCGTCTGTCATGCGTGTGGCCCGGGTTCGATCTTCAGCACCACATACAAACAACGATGTTGTGTCCGCCGATAACTAAAAAATAAATATTAAAAATTAAAAAAAAAAAGCCTACATCTTTGCTAGTCCCACCAGGAACAAAGGCAAGGTAGTGCTGTTCAATACAGAGAATATCTAACAATATTTGGTTTTGAGAATAGGCACATGGATACACACAGATATATACATTAGATAGATGTTTTGCTCAACAAACTCTAATATCTAACAGATTGCTGGGCACATAGCAAGAAAAATTCCAAAGAATACATAGCAGATAGTAAGAAGAAATGATGCTTAAATCTTCAGTGTTATGAACTCTTTCTTTAACTTGCTTATACACCTGAAGGTCAGGAGTTCAGATCCATGCCCATGACCATAGAAAAGGTCACCCCATTTTGCCTCTCATCACAGGCAGGTCACATCCCTGAAGAGAGTCCGTCTTCTTCCTCCGGGTAGCTGATCTCTCCATGTACCACGAGATGCTTCCTTTCCCGCCACCTGTGGCTCCAGATACTCACATTCTTCTTCCTGGGTCCTGACACCTTCTCATTTTGCTTCCGAGAAGTCCTTGCTTTTCCCGGTGCCTATTATTGTCTCTGAGCCAACTGCTTTTGGCAGTCCCTTCGGGTCATTTTCTTCCCTTGCTGGCTTCTTGAGCATCTCCTGGCATTGTCTCTGTCATAGGCCAGAAGTGCTCTTAGGCAATTCATCCTGACTCCCACGGTTGCAGCGTCCATCAGAATCAGGGCTCTGGGATGCTATGATCTGTCCATGAGGACTCGCGGAAGCAGGAAGGGTGGCTCTGGGACCTCAGAGACCAAGTGACAGCGAAGGGTGCACCCTCGATTCTCGATCCCTTCCCGTGACCTCTCAAGGCCCCAGGTTCAGTGGAGCCCTGGCCTCGGCTCTCCCATCCAGCCCAGGGTCAGGCCAGGCTTTTTCCTTGAGGTGGACCAGGAAGAATTGAAAGTAAATGGAGACTCACCTGGGCATCGTCTGGTTGAGCATGAGCAACTGCCTCCAGCTCAGCCTGGGGAGGAGATGCACCGTGGAGATTCCAGGCCCAGGGGAGGAGCATCCCAGACACAGGATATGGTCTGTCCTTGCCATAAAACAGTATGTGACAATAAGAAAGTGAGACACTGGCACCCCTGCAGGCTGGGTGAGCCTGAGAGTGTGCCAAGGAAAGAGCACTGGACACGAAGGCCACCCGGCGCTCGCCCATTTACATGACCCTTCCAGTTTGCTGATGATGGAAGGTGACTCTGTGCTTGGCTGGAGCTGCCGGTGGGGGGGACCCCTGCAGAACCCACCCTGATGGAGCTGCACAACTCGGACCAGAGAGTCAAGTGTAAGTGGAGGAACTGTATGACGTACCAATAAAGCTTTGAACCTCCCCCCACCAAAAGCAACCAAGAGAAAGAAAAGTGCAACTAGAGAAAACAGGCACATTCAGGAGGAATAATAAAACCACGGGTGACAGCAGATTTCTTGTGGGAACAATGCAAAAGAGAAGACAGTCACCTCTTCACAGTACTTGAAGCAGAAACTGACCCTTATACACATATGTTCAGCTGACATGGACAGAGGTGGAAACTGACCCGTGTATAATGTGGTCAGCTGACATTGGACAGGGGTGGAAACTGACCCGTGTACCATGTGGTCAGCTGACATTGGACAGGGGTGGAAACTGACCCGTGTACCATGTGGTCAGCTGACATTGGACAGGGGTGGAAAGACCCTTCTGTGGGAAAGGAAAGTCTCTTCAGGGAGAGACTCAGGGACAACTGGATGTGCATGTGTGAACCAGTTAACCCCACTTCATGCCACCACAGGTCAACCCAAGCAGAACACAGCCCTCAGCGCAAAGTCCAACTACAGAACTTTCTGGAGAAAATTTAGATACAAAACCAGAACAGTGCATGGGGGAAAAAAAGGCTGAATAACTGGCTTTATCAAAAGTAAAAATTTGAAGGCTGGGGAATGTAACTCAAGGCAGAGCACTTGCCCAGCAAGCTTGGGTTTTGGGCTGGTGTGCACGCACGCACGCACGCACGCACGCACGCACGCACGCACGCACGCACACACACACGCGCTTGCTTTCCAAGAGACACTGTTGAAAATGAAAACCTAAGCCTCAGCCTGGGAGAAACACACGCAAGTCACACGCAGGGTGCTGCCCTTTAGACCGTGACGGTCTCCCCCAGGCCCATTGCTAAAGGCCTGCGGAACTGATGGGACCTGGTGAGGCCTGCAGGAGGTAGGGCCCAGGGGAGGAGGGTCTGCTGGCACCGGCCCTTTGCTCTGTCTCTCCTTCCTGGCCGCCGTGAGGCGAAGACCTCCTCCAGCACTTGCTCCTTCCCAGGGCCCAAAGCAGTGGGCCCCAGCAGCCGTGGACCAAGGTCTCTGAAGAAGCCTTTCCTCCTTCTCAGTTGGTTCTCAGGTGTTTGGTCAGTGACAGCTGATTCCATATGTGGAGATACACTGATAGACAGAGTGCATGAATCCTCAAGCTGAATCATAAAAAAAACAACCTAAATAAGAAAATTAGATTTGGTCAGTTATTTCACCAAAGAAGACGTATGAATGGCAGATACATCCAGGAAAGCACACAGGATGTCACATGGAAGGCAAATTAAACCTCAGGGAGACACCACAGCACACCTGCTGGCATGACCAGACAAGACTGGCCATGCCACGGACTGGGCATCTGGAACATTCCATCACCACTGGGGGACCGTGGAACTGTACAGCCATCCTGGATGGCCAGTGGGGGTGGCTCAGAGGCAGAGCACTCACTCACCTGGCACATGACAGGCACTGGGTTCGATCCTCAGCACCACATAAATAAAGAAAGTATTGTGTCCATTTATAACTTGAAAAAAATATACATATATATAAAACAGAACAAAGCAACAAAACAAAACTAAAAGCAAACACACTGGAAATAGTTGGGCAGTTTCTTAAAAAGATAAATACAGAGCCACTACATGACCTAGCCAATCCATGCCCAGGTATTTACCCCAAAGAAACAAGAACTTGTACTCATACACGAACTTTCACACACATTTCAAAACAGCTTTATAAGTAATAGCCAACATTTATAAATACCCCAAATGTTCACCAACATATTAATTAGTGGTAGCAAATTGTGATATATCCAACAATAGAATATTTATCATTTAAAAAATTTGGTATGGGGCTTGGGTTGTAGCTTAGTGGTTGAGCGCTTGCCTCACTTGTGTGAGGCACTGGGTTTGATCCTCAGCACCACATAAAAAATAAATAAATAAAACAAATATATTGTGTCCATCTACAACTAAAAATTTTTTAAATTTTTTTAATTTTGATACATGCAGTAGTATGGGTGAGTCTCAAAATAATACTGTATGGCCACGTCAGGCAGACTGTTCTCTTTTTTTACTGTATGAACAAACATGTGCCACTTTGTAGTGACGAAAAGCAGACTGATGGTTCCCTAGGAGGGAGGAAGGAATCACAGAGGGGCACAAGAACCTTTGGGCAAAGGAGATGTCATCTCTGGATTATGGCAATGATTTCTGAGTATATTCATATGTCAAAGCCTAGCACATAGTACACTTTAAATATTTACAGTTTATTATGCATGATTATGCCTCAGTAAAACTATTTCAAAACAACAGGAAGAAGCCCACCCTTTACCAAGCTTATTTATTTATCTATCTATCTATCTATCTATCTATCTATCTATCTATCTATCTATCTATCTATTTAGTGCCAGGGATTGAACCTAAGTGTTCTTAACCACTGAGGCACATCCCCAACCTCTTTTAATTTATTTATTTTTATTTTTTTAAATTTCGAGACGGGGTATGGCTAGGGCCTAAGTTGCTGAGGCTGGCTTTGAATTGGAGATCCTCCTGCCTCAGCCTCCCCAGTCACTTGGGTTGCAGACGCGCACCACTATACCCAGCTTTAATGAGTATTTAAGACAGCATGGAATGCTTTAGTGGCTCATTGAAAGTTGGCTCTTGCTTTTGAGAACTGTCTCAAGTTCAAGGGCTTGAAAGGGACCACATGGTTTCAGGAAAGGGCTTGGCAATCCCCCAGGAACCTCCATCTTATCCCTCTCCTAACTGCACGGCAGGGGTCAGGACCAAGGGACCCCAGGCAGAGGGGCTTTAAGGTTGTCTTTTTCGCTGAGGAGTCCTGATGCCCTCTAGTGGTATTGAGGGGTACAGCACTCTTCCTTGACCCACTCCCTCAGCTGCTTGGATAGGTCTGGCCACCTCTTCTTCACCCAATCACTTGGCCCACTGACCAGGTGCTTGTCTCTGCCAGTAATGGAGGCTCCACAGTAGAGCTGAGTCGTGAACGTGGCATATTCTTCCTCCCTGTGCTGAGGCAGGCCACCACCAGGAAGGTTCACAGGGCATGGGAATGAAGGAAGGGCTTTCTTCTGAAGGCTGGTCAGCTCCACCTGACCGATGAGGTTTGTCTCATCAAACCTGCTAACCCTCCTCCTCCAGCCCTTCCCACAGCTCCCCTCCCCAGCCTGGAGCGGCCTCCTGCCTCCCTGGGGCCCTGTGTTCCCTCTCCAAGCCTGTGATAGATCCTGCCATCTCCTGCCCCAAGATCCCTGCCGTCTTTTCATCTCCCTGTGGGCCGTGTGGGACTTGGTTGTGTGCTCCTTCACACACACGTGGTGCCTCTGAGACGTGACCACATGCCACTGCCCTGCCCGGCAGGACGTGGTACTGGGCCCCAGGGCCATATGGACATGAAACAGTATGCCGTGGCCCAGGAAAACCAGTGCCAGGCAGCTGCAGATCCAAGTGTGGAAGATAAAGCGATGAAGATTTGTGTAAAAGCAAGAATATTCTTGTGGTTTGGGGGCAGGCAAAGAGTTCTTTAAAAAATGAACAAGTGGAGCTGGGGTTGCCGCTCAGTGGTTGAGCGCTGGCCTAGCACACGTGAGGCACTAGGTTCAAACCTCAGCACCACATTAAAGAAAATGAAATAAAGATATTACTTTAAAAAAAAACAATGAAAAAGTACTAAGCAACAATTGTTGGCAAAAGTACTATGTTACATTAAAAACTTCTGTTCATCAAAAGTCATGCTTAATTGGGCTGAGGATGTGGCTCAGTGATGTTTGCCCCACATTGCCGGCCCTGGATTCCATCCCAGCACCCAGCACAAAGAAGGTGGAACAGGAGACACTGCAAACCCACACAGGCACAGAGTGGTAGGGGCGCACCACAAAAGCACGTCCGCACAGCAGCAGTGATGAAGTTTGGCCCTCACAGTAACTTGATGGCGTGGCAGAGACAGATGCCCAAAGGAGGCCACAGAGCCCCGGCCCTGTGATTGGGGGATGTGTCGGCACACTGCTTGGGGACTCCCTGGGCAGAACCTTCTACAGCTCACCCAGGGCTCCTGAAAAAGCTCCGGAATGTTCACAGCAGTCATGCCTGCACAGCCGCCAGCCGGGACACCTCACCCACAGGCAGACAGCCACACGGCAGATGTGCACGTGGCCAGCCCTCTCTGGGCGCTCCACTGCAGCCCCTTCTGGCATGGCTGCCTCCTGAACCATGAGCAGCCTGGAGCTGGGGAGCAGATTCGCAGTGTGGTGGGGTAGGGCTCCTCTCACAGCTCCAGCCAGGTTGGGCTGCCCTGCCCCAGGCAGCTGGTGAGAGGCAGAAAGTTTGAGGCCCATTTTCGGAAGATAGTGTTTAGTTTCAGCTGGGATGTAGAGACCCAATTGTAGCCATTTTTAACCACAGCCCTTCTCTTGACTACCCCAATGTCAAAAGTAGCTAGTTGCATAGATTGTCACCCCAAGGCACTCTTCTCAGTGCAAGGGTACGCACTACATTAGGGATAAAGCAGGTGGGCTGCCCACCCAGGTGTGCCTGTCCAGTGCCACACCCTTCTGCAGAAGTCTGCCTTGCCGCCCACTTCCCAGCACCTCCTGCAGGCACACACACTCAGATCCAAGAGCCAACCCTCCACCTGGCCTGCCGTCAGCTTCCTGCCGGACCCTGCAGCCTCTTGGCTCACCGAGGCCTTGGGCTCCTCTGGGCACTCCTGCTCCATCTCCCAGAACCTGCTGCTTGTGAATGAGCTTGCTCCCTGTCCTGTTCAGATGCATGTCGTATGACTCCCCTGCTTTTCCTCTTGTCCTCTGACTCGGGGCCTGTCTGAGAAGGGCCACCAATCCTGCCCTCGAGGACCTGGAGGGTGCCCCTGCTCTGCAGCTGAAGCAGGGTTAAGGACAGGGTCATGTGACCCAACTCTGCCACTGACTTTGTGGCTGTGTGCCCATGACTCACCCTCTCTGTGCCTCATAACCTTCAGGAATAAGGGTCATCCTGATTCCCCTCTCAGAACGGATGAGTTTCAGGGAAGGGTTCAGGGGCTGGCAAAGATTCTGTATCGCCCTGCCAGACTCTTCCTGAGGAAAAGGCCACCCCACCCTGGGTCTGTCCACAAGAGTTGAGTCAGGAATGAAACCACTTTGTACCCCCAGCCCTCCCGGACCTTCTCTGAGGCCCACGATGGGAGGCATCCACAGAGAGCAAAGAATTCCCCCTCCTGCTCTCAAGTCCACCGTCAGGTTCAGCCGTGCCTCGGGGGACTCTGGGATCCCAGGAGGTCGGCCAGGGAGGCACATCCTGCCCTGGGTGGGTGAGGGCTCATCTGAAAAGCTGGGCGGGAGACACGCTGGGGGCCTGAGGCTCGTGGCAAGATGGAGGTGCAGGCAGCCTCCTGCCTGGGAAAGGGAGGCCTGTGCAGGGCTGGTCACTGGTCAGCATTCTCTGGCCAGAGTCTGCTGTGACCTCTGCTGGCACCAACTCTGGGCCTGGATCTGCACCAGGGCGACGTCCATCACGTAACCGAAGGCTCCTCAAATGCCATCTATTTGTGGCCTGAGCCCTGACTGGCACGGGTCATGTGTGCCCAGGGATGAGGTATTTTGGGCAGGAGGGGTGGAGCCTGCAGGGAGAGCAGAGCACCGTGCTGCCCTGGAATGGGCGGTGTGAACTCCAGTTCCACTGCCCGGCTGGCTGCCTAGACCAGGTAGGAGGTGATCAGCCCCACACTCCTGTCCAAGGCTCCCATAGCAGACAGCCCCCAGGAGGAGAGGAGGGCTCGAGTCAGTGGGCAGGTCTGGTCTCCAGACAGCGTTGGCTCAGGACTGTCCCAGCCAGTGACCTCCTTCCCTCTGGGTCTGGCCGTGTCTCACCCAGAGCCTAAGAGCAGCCCCATGGAGGCAGAGGCTGGCTCTCAGCAGCTCAGGTGAACTCAGCCAGGGGTGCAGATCCTGAGGGTCACGTGAGGGGCCATGGGGATCAGGGACGCAGCTCTGCTCTGTGACATCCAGCCCAAGCTTTTCCTGCTGACCTCTGAGCCAGCTCTGACCTTGGTGAGCTCAGAGGAATCTTGTCCCAGCCGAAGCTGGTGAAGGTCATTGCCCAAGGCTGGTCACCTCCTGGACACTTGCAGCCTCCAGTCTATGACCTGCTGCCAACTAGAGCATGCTGGGACCGCCCAGGGCTGACCATCTCCGGGGGCCCTGATCCCCGGCGGGTTGTCCTGGTGCAGTCTGCTCTGAGGGAGCAGAGGCAGTCAGGAGGTCAGAAGGCTGCTGAGCAGGGCTCAGGGCTGCTGGAGGGGGCAGGCAAATGCCACGAGTGCTGGTTTACCCACGAATCCAGGGTCATGTTTGATTGCAGGAAGGTGGCAGTGTGTTGTGATAAGGTTACCATTTAGAGATGATTAGGAGACCAGGCAAGTGGGAGCCGAGGATTTTTTTAATTCAGAAGAAAGGTTTTTGCTTTCTTTCAGGGTGGAGATGGTGTACCAAGGAGATGGGGGGCACCCCTGGGGTGGGTGGGGTGGTAGCCAGGTGAGCAGATTAGTGCCCAGAGCCTGGACCTGTGAAGACTCCACCCAGCCCCAAGTTCTGCTGCCTCTCCAGCACCTCTGTTGACCCATGATGGACAACTTCCAGTACAGCGTCCAGCTCAGTGACCAGGACTGGGCTGAGTTCTCTGCCACTGCTGATGAGTGTGGTCTCCTGCAGGCTGGCCTAGCCTCTGGAGATGAGCTCTTGTCCAGTGATATTGACCAAGGGGACAGCAGTGGCAGCAGCCCCCCTGGGCCCCCACCCCTTCTTACTGGGCAGCTTGCTCCCAGGAGGAGGGGCTGTCAGAGCTGTGAAGAGGAGGACGCCGTGGCCACAGGACAGCTGGTCAGAAGGTCTCAGGGTGAGCCTGTCCTGGCTCTGGGACCTGGTCAGCAGGCAGCCGGCACGTCCGCACAGTCAGAAGCTCTTCTGTCCCTTGGCTCAGGTGCTGCCCCTCCCGGTCAGTGCTCAGTCCTCCCACGGTCAGCAGCTTCCAGAAAGGAGATGCAGAGGCTCCTGCAGGGCCCGGCCCCCTGCCCCCCTGGTGAGCCCCCTCGGAGTCCCGAGTCTCCTGGCTTCAGCCCCACCTCCCAGAAACCCCCCGACAGCCCTGGAGCCCCAGCACGGAGCCCTGGGCGCAAGAAGAGACGTACTGTGGGCGCAAAGGGGGGAGGGCGCTCAGGAGCCCCAGGCCCTGCTGTTGCCCATCTGGGCTCCCTGCTGCCCACTGAGACCAGGCCTGAGGAGGGCACTGGCCTGGCTGGGTCCAAGGGCAAGGGGTTTGTGGCTGCGGCAGCAAAGCTGACAGCAGGAGCCCAGCAGGACACACTGGAGCCAGACTCTGCAGGTGCTCCGGAGCTGAGTGTTTGTCCCCCTGAGCATGCTGCCAGTCCAGGGCCAGGCTGGGGTCTGTGTACACCTGTGCCTGTCACTGAGCAAGGTACAGACCAGACCAGAATAACTCCTAGAGCTGAGCTACCCACGGTATCCACATCTGTTCAGGAAACTCACCCAAATGTCTCCCCAGCTAAGCCAGATGTGGCTCTGTCTACACCTGCCTCCAAGCCTCAAATTGACATGGGTCTGTCTATACCTGCTTGCAAGATTCAACCCAACACGAATCTGTGTGTGCTTGACTCTGAGCCTCAACCTGATGTGGCTTTCTCTACACCTGCCTCCAAATCTCAGTCTGACATGGCTTCATCTACACCTGCCTCTGCACCTCCACCCAACGTGGGTCTGTCTGTGCCTGCCTCTGAGTCTCAACCCAATGTGGCTTTGTCTGTGCCTGCCTCCAAACCTCAGTCTGATGTGACTTTGTCTACACCTGCATGCAAGCCTCAACCCAACATGGCTTCATCTACATCTCCCTCTGAAAGTCTACCCAACATGGATTTTTCTACACCTGCCTCCAAACTCCAACCTGATGAGGCTTTATCTACACCTGCCTCCAAGCCTCAACCTGACACGGCCATGTCTACATCTGCCTCTGAGCCTCAGCGTGTCCAGACTGGATCTACACCTGTCTCCACACCAAGAGTGTGTGTGGACCTGCATGCAGCAGCGGTGGATTCCCCTACTCTTGTCTCTGTGGCCCTGCCGTGCACAGCTCTGCCGCACTCTGTTTCCAAGGCTCAGTCTGAAGCACCTGTATCCACACCTGCCCCCAGAGCCAGTGCTGCTGAGCCCTCCTGGGCCCCTGTCCCCCAAGCAGGGTCTGACACTGTGGGGACAGAGGTGATGGTTCCTCCTGGGGGACCCCAAGAGAAGCCCAGAGAGCAGCCCTCTGAAGGGACCCCAGGACCCCCTGAGGGCGAGGCCCTGCAGGGCCCCATGCAGGCTCCCAAGAGGAAGAAGGTACGATTTTCTATGGCAGTGCCCAGACCGGAGAAGCCAAGGTCAGCAGGGGCCGAGGGCCCACCCTCTCCAGTCACACCCCGGCCCTCAGCCCTCAGAATGGCAATGGGGGGCCATGAGGGGTCTGCAGCCTGGAACGCTGTGGCAGTCGGGCCCCGGCCCCCCCAGCCACGGATCCTCAAGCACCTGCCGCCCCCTGCCCCTTCTGCTTCGGTGAGGCCTGGACTGGGCAGCAGCTATGCAGTAACCCTCCCAGAGGCCTATGAGTTCTTCTTTTGTGACACCATTGAGGAGGAGGACGAAAGTGTGGCAGAGGAGGAAGCCAGCCAGGCCCTAGGCGAAGTCCAGTGGCCGGACACATGCGAGTTCTTCTTCCGGGATTTCCAGGGCCAGATGCCCCAGCATCGGGGGTGCTGTTCCCCAGCTGCAGCCCCGCTCCCGAGGGTCGAGGCTGTGCCAGTGGCACCCCCTGGTGACCCGGTGCCCATTTCTATCCCTGAGGCCTACGAACACTTCCTGGAGGAGGATGGGTTTGGGGGTGTGCTGCCATCCCTTCTCCAGCTGCGGGCCTCAGAGCACCCCGGGGAAGCGGGGCCCAGGATCTCGCCTGAGCCCAGCCCAGCCACAGCGGAACAACTCAGCCTGGCGGTCAGGCGGGCAGGTGCGTTCTGCTTAGGCCCTAAGTCCATCCAGGTCTGGGAACACACTGTCCAGGGAGCCCAGCCAGAAGGCCTATGGGGGTGGGGAGGGAGCATGATCTTGGGTCACCAGCCTCTGGGTGGGGGGGCCTTGGGAACCTGTGGGGAGGTCAGGGAAAGCTCCAGGAATCCCAGGACAGAGTCCACATGGGGCGGCTGAGGCCAGGCACCACGGCCATTCAGGGGTCTGACCTGAGTCCAGGCCCAAATGCCGGGAAAGCCCATCTCTAAATCACCTCTAACAGGATGGGTGCTGGGGTGCTCTGACTTGGGCCTGAGTGAGGCAGGTACACATGTCCCAGGGTGGACGTGTCCTGGCAGGCGTGCCCAGGGCAGATGTGTCGGGGGGACGTGTCCTGGCAGGCGTGTCTCGGGGTGCAGCAGTCAAGCTCTGGTGTACTTCTCTCTCCTAGGGGAGCTCTGCAGTCCCCTGGCCTCCTCTCCCTTCAGTCAGAAGGACATGTGTCTGGTGTTTGTGGCTTTTGCCACCTGGGCTGTGAGAACCTCAGATCTACATACCCCGGACGCTTGGAAAACAGGTGTGGGGCTCTGGGGGCAGAGGGAGCTTGTGCCTAGGAGTCAGAAGGAGGGGCTTCCTTGTTCAGCCTCACCTGGGCCCTAGGGAGGAGGTGTGCACCGAGGGAGGAGATGTGCGCTGGAGGCACAGGTTCTCCCCAGCTCTGCTTCTCCCCTGCCAACTGGCTTCCACCCCATTGCTCTGTCCCCCTGGCCTTGTCCTGCCCTCTGAGGACTGAGTCATGTGGCCAGAAGGGGATGACTGGCAGGAGCCGGCACCAGGAGACCTTGTGCTTCTCTTTCAGTCTTGCTGGCCAACCTTGGCACCATCTCTGCCATCCGCTACTTCCGCAGGCGTGTGAGGCGAGGGCGCAGTCCCAGCCGCAGCTGTAGCCGCAGCCCAAGTCCCACCTCCTAGCAGCCAGACCTGGACCACGAAGACGCAGGACAGGAGACAAGCATGGTGCCAGGAGGTGCTGCCCTCCTCCTTGCCCTCTGACCCCTGTCTTCCAGGGCGTCCAGGAGGGAGCCAGTGTCTGTGGGGCTGGCTCCCTTGGACTCCACCTGAGGCCCAGCCAGGGGCTGAGGCCGCTCCCCTCCCCTTGGAGGAAGGAAATTTGGAATTCTGGGTGGGTAGGGACTGAGCAGGGAACTAGTTAATAGGGTATTGAATTAGCAAATGAAAAGCACAGGGCATCCAGTTAAATTTGAATTTCAGACATGCAATATTTGGGATAAATTTACACTAAGAAATTATTGTTGATGATCTGAAATCTAACTTAACTGGGCATTGTGTTTCATCTGGTTATAGGTTGGGGGGAAGTGGCAGGAGAAGATACTGGAATTAGGAGTGGCAGAGAGGGGCAAGGCAGTGCTGGGTTTGGGTGGAGTCAGGACAGGGATGCTAGGGGCCATAGGAGCTACGGGCATGTTCTAGGGCATCTGCCCTGCTCACAAGAGCCTCTTGAACCCTGAGCCCCCAAGGACATGGTCAAGGTAGTGGTGGTGGGCAGACCTGGGCAGATGCCCAGACACCTCCAGTGGTTGCTGCGGCCCCTGTGGTGGGGAGTCTGTGGGGCAGGACCTTGGCTCCTCGGAGGAGACCTGGATGAGGATTCAGGCAGAACCTGGTGGCCTCACCCATGAGGACTTGGCTTGGAATTGTCCCTGCTCCCCTGGGTCAGCTGGTGTGGAGGTCAAGGCTGAGAGAGTCAGAGATGGGGTGGGAAGGTGAGTGGGGCCGGAGGTGGCAGAGCAGTGGCAGGGGGTCTGCCCAGGGCAGTGTGCACAGGGTCTTCAGGATGCTGGGAGATTCCTGGTTCCTTGGTGGAGGACACAGGTAGACAGCACCAATAAAATCTCCTCTCTCTTCCTTGTTCATGGCATCGGTGTCTGACTAGCCCCATCCATACACCCCAGCACTGACCCCCACCCCGGCCCACTTTGAGGGACACCTTCATGCCTGTGCTGGTTCACACCTTGAGACCGAGGAGCCTCATGCTCCAACGTCACACACTCAGACCCTGCCAACCTGACCTAGCCCTCTGTCCTGCACATCCATGTGGCCCCCAACCTCCAGGTTAAGTTCCCTCCCTGAGGGCAGAGCTGCAGATGGCATCTGCAGATGTTCAGCACCTCCCTGAAGACCCTGGCTGGGTTGTGGTCAGCCACGCAGCCAGGGTGTCCCCAGGGATGAGGCGCCTATTCTTAGCTATTCCAGCTGCTACCCATCTGCCCTCAGGTCCTGGACACTCCTTGGACTTGCTGGGGTCAGACCCACGCTGGGGATTTGACATGGGTCAAAAGATTAGGTGACTGCAGATCCCTCTCCAGGGTCAGAACCAGACAAATGTGGTTCTGACAAGCAGCCCTGGCCAGGGGCCATCAGATCCACTGGATGAGCCCCCCCTCTGCCTCAAGCCTTCGGAGCCGTGGCCATTTCTGGTGGGAGGAAGATGAAGTCTTGTCACCATCTGGGAGGGAGGGCAGAGACCCATCAGCCTGCAGGAAGCTACATCCTGGTTCGTACTTACCCCCAGGGAGGCAGGAACCCCACTCACCTGAGGGAGGTGGCAGAGGGCTGGGTGACACTTCCCTGGCAGGGGAGACCTGGGAACCCCAAACCACAAGTCTGAGAGCAGGGCAGATCCCCGGGAAGGGAGCATAAAGATCAGCCTGGAACCTGCCACAGCCCTCCCATCGTTGTCTCCTGGCCCTGCTTGCCCCACATTCTCCTGTTTCTCTCTCTCCTGCTCCCTCCAAGTTCTAGGTCTGCCCAGCACCCTCTGGGCCCAGGGACTGGGCCTCATCACCCCTCCTCCCACAGTGGGGGCTGCTACTCACAAGCTGAGGGGAATCTGGGGGCTGTGGACCCCGGTTCTTGATGGAACCCCGGTGTCTCCGAGAAGCCCGGGACTGCAGGGCTCCTTTCCTGGACACCAAATGGGGAGCTGGGGGGCCAGGAGAGCTGGAGAGTCCAGAGCAGGGGTCAGAGACAGGCACAGACACAGGGACCGAGGGGAATGGGCTGGAAGGCTCTGGTGCAGGTGAGCTTCGTACTGCACTGAGGAACTGCCAGGAGAATGTGGGTAACATGAGGCCCTGGGGGAGGGCCACCAGGGAGCACAGGGATTCCTGCCCCAGGCACCCCCTTAGCCTCCCGTCAGAGCCTGAGCTAACCTCAGGTTTTGGCATCTCCCTGACTTCAGGCTGTGGCACATTCAGCCCTGTCACCAGCAGGCCACTGACCTCATCCAGGCCCCTGATGTCTGCGATCCTGCGATGGGAAGTGGCAGGTGGGGTGTAGGGATCAGCATACAGCGGGGAGTGTGGTGCCTCCAGGGGCTGCTCTGGGGCCTCTGGGCCACACTCCAGGCCCAGCCTGCCCACCTGAACAAAGGTGTGGAAGAGACAGTCCTGGAGTTAGAAGAGGCAGAACCTCTATCTGCATGAAAGAGGCCTTGGGAGCTGCAGGCCCAGCCAGGCTGAGAGATCAGGCCAGGGAGGCAGGGCAGGAGGGAAAGCCACCCTGCAGGGCTGGGCCACCTGGGTCAGGTCCAGATGCAAGTGTGGTGGTACGGCAGGACCAGGCAGCTCCCCTCGGGCCTGGCCCCTCGACCGACTGCTGCGCCTCAGATCTGCTCTCCGTTGGCCAATGCTGGCACAGTCAGATTCAGAATTGGGCTGGCCCTGTGGGGGACCAAAACCTTCCAGAAAGTTCTCTTGGCCCTTCCCACTCAGTCCTGAGGCCCCATGGCACTCCCTCCAGTCTAAGTCCCCCCAACCCAGGAACCAGGGTCCAGGCTGAGGTTGATGAGGCATGGGAACCAGTCTCCCAGGCACACAGAAGCCTCATGCTTCCTACCCCTCTTCCTCAGCCAGTCCCCCACGTACTCACAGGTGCAGGCTGGGCAGGAGCAGGGCAGCCTGCAGTGGACGGCACTGAGGACTCAGGGAGGGAGTGGCTGGTGCGGTTGGAGGGGGGCGCTGGGCACCCTGAATCCCAGCTGGTCCGTCCATCAGAGGAAAGTGAGCCTCGGACACCACCTGTGACCTGGGCAGTCAGGGGATGAGCTGGGTGGCCAGTCCCTCTCCCCACCCACCCATGTCTGGACCCACCCCTCTATCCCCAGGGCCTGAGCCAAGGTACTGCTGCTGCCCCTCACCTGTGTGGGCCCCTGCAGGCCTGGGAAGCTCTCAGGGTTGAGCAGCAGGGGGCCCCCATCCTGTCTGGAAACCCTCTGGAGGCAGAGCAGCCAGTGGCGGTAATCTTCATGACTGGCACACAGCACCCGGATGGTATGGATGAGTCGGCCTGTACACAGACTCCATGAGGTGGGGCCTGGCAGCACAGGGTACCCCACAGAGTCCCCATAAAGAGCTGGGCTGTCCACCAGGCTCACCCACCTTCCCCCGGCCCCAAGGCAGGGGCAGAGTCTGGGTCAGAACCGACCTGAGATCAGGAATGAGCGGGTCTGCTTCTCTTCCAGGTCAATGTGGATGGCAGTGAGTGGCAGCTCCCCCTGTGGGCAGTGAGTGAGGCCTAGGCCTTCCTGGGAGCAGCCCCAGTCCCTGCCTGGCCCCATCCCCCAGTCTTCCAGAGCTGGGCTGGGCACCCAGACAGTCCAGCACCAAGGCCAGTTCCCTGAGGGAGTGGGGCAGCTAGAGTCTGTCCTGGGGACATCATCACCCAGGTCTGCTCACCAACTCACGTAGCAGATGGGGACTGACCCCCAGGCAGGGAAGCCCCTGTGTGTCTCCTCAGTGTACAACAGTGACATGCTCACTGGCATGTAAGCACATGCCCATCAGGCAGCAGGGGCACATACCAATGACTCCCAGGAGTGGTCCCACCTCATGCCACCTGCCCAAGGGCGATGATCTGGCTGTGGCTGAGGGCCCTTCAGGATGAGGAGGGTGCTCCAGGGAGGAACTCTTTCACCTCAGAGCTGAGACCAGACTGACCAGGCAGTGAGCCAGATGGGTGGAGCCCTGTGCTCTGTCCCAACAGGCCTCGACATACAGGTTCTCCCCGAGTTGCCGCCCCCACTCCACACAGCATGCCTCCCTGGGCAGGTCCACCCTGTGGAGGGCCCACCTTAAAGGCAATCCCATCTGGTTCCTCAGAGAAGATGGCCAGGGATGTGGGGTACAGGACCAGGAGCCGATCCCACTGCTCCTGCAAGGGGTCAAAAGACAGCATGGGTGGGGCTGGGCACCAGGGGCTGCCCCACCCCCCCTCTACCTGCCCCACATCCCCTCCACCTGTGAAGGCAGGTGCTGCAGCTTGACCCTTGAGGCACAGATGGCACTGCCCACAGATTCACGCCCAGATGCCCTCCGCAGCCAGGTCAGACGGCGCTGCAGGGACCAGGGGAGCTCATCCCCTGAGGGGCCCTGTGGAGGAGGAGGCCATCAGGGTAGGCTGGCAGGGAAAGAGCGGGGAGGGGCTGGCAGGTTCCTGACACTGACCTGCGGGGGCGCAGAGTGGCAGCGCCGCAGTCCCCCCACCAGGGCCATCTGCTTTTCCAAGTGGTAGAGCCAGCAGCGGAGCTCATCTTCACTGGGGCAGAGAACGAGGAGTGGGGCGGGCAGTGGGCCTGGGGGTGGAGGAGCAGTGTGGGCTGAGGTGGGCCCAAGCTTGGAGCCCCCGAGTCCAAGCACAGGCCCCTCTCCAAGGGATCTGTGCAGACTGATCCATGGCCCTGGCTGGGAGGCACCTTCTAGAAGGCCTTCACGTACCTGTGATCTGGAAGTGTCCTTCACATACCTGTGATCTGGAAGCCATGCTCTCCAGTCTCCTCGAGGGGGCAGATGCTCAACTCCACCAGCGGCAGCAGCCCCTGACAGAGAACAGGTAGTAGCAGCTGCAGGAACTCTCAGGGGCCTGTCCCCCACCCTTGCCCAGGCCCCTTACCTGGAATGTGAGTCCTGCAGAACTGTGAGCCTGGAAGTAGAGGTGGGAAGGGAACAGCTCCAGGTAGCAGTCACTGGTATCCTGGGGAGAGCAGATGCCCATATGAGGGACTGGGTCAGACAGGATGGTGGGGTATGGGTCCCTGAGCATGCCCCCCAGCCCCCACCTGGCTGTGCTGGAACCGCAGCTGGACCTTGGCATAGTGTACCACCTTGCCCAGGTTCCTCACGGGCACCTTCCGCCGCCCCTTCTTGAACACACTCAGGATGGGCTGCTCCAAGTTCTCTGGCTGATTCTCCAGGCCTGGAAAGTCCTAGGGGAGTAGGGCTTGGGGAGTGGCTAGATAGGGCCAGCAACCCCAACTCATTACTCAGCCACCCACATAGGCCTGACCTGTCCATGCCAGGCCACACAACACACACAGGCAGATGCACACAGCCTGTATACATGGAATGGTGGCAGAATACACAACATGCACACACACACACAGCTCCCCAGTCCATGCTACCTGGTCTAGCAGTGACAGAGAAGTTGGGACTCGGTGGAGTCAACCCTTATCTTCACCTCCTCCTGGTTCTGCAGCTCTGTTTTGTTTGTTCAATCTCCCCAGACTTTTCAAAGGAGTTTTGGGGGTGTCTGGGTGAGGTAGTGCATAAAACCCTGCCTTTTAACAATAAACTGGTAAATGTTTAATACCTGATTTTAAAAACAAAAAAAAAAAAAAAAAAAAAAAAAAAAAAGAAGAGAAAAAAGCAAAAACCCAAGCCCTGATCTGTAATATCCACCAATTTCCTTGGTGTAAATATTCCCACTGCAGCCTGCTTGGATACCAACATGAGTTCTGGGTGCTCAAGTGCTAGTTGCTCTAGCATACCAAGCATGGGCCTCAGTCTCTCACACAAAAACGGCAATGACTAAGGGTTCTCTGCGACCTGCCCCTCCACTCTTTCTCCCTCTCTTTCTCTCAAATCAGGCACATGTCTGAATCAGGCTGTTCCCTTGGCTGGGGCCACTCAGCACTGACTCTCCACTTTGCTCAGCTCTCACCTTCTCCCTGGCTGCACCCTCTTCTAAAATTCCAGCCTTTCCTGTTCTAGTTAGCTGCCTGACCACAGTTGACTTACTCTATTTCTACTTAGTCGTCCTGTCTATCTGCCACTGCTGAGTCTCCAGGGCCTGGAACGAACGTGCTGGTGGGGGTGTCAATGCATTATGCTGAAGGGAAGGAAGAAGGGCCAATGTCTACACAGCACTTAGGTAGTCCAGGCAGGGCGTTCCTTCTCTACAAATGGGGGCTCTGATATCAGAGCCAGGGTCAGATAGGAGTCAGGTGCTAAGGGACTGGAGAGGACTGTGACCTACTAGCCTAGGGGCAAATTCTATTGGGAGTCACATTTGGGTTACCTGCAGGGCTGCTGTGTCCTGGCCAAGTCAAGCTGCCCCTTGGGCAAGCCTAGGAATGTGAACAGACAGATCACAGTTCCCCCAGCTTCTCTGCCTCTGGGAGGGGCCTTTTGCACCCACACCCAGTGTGGGAAATGATTCCAGATGACACTCTGGAAAAAATAGGCCATGAATCGGTAAGGGCTACGCCACTGGTCCTGTGGCCTAGGTCAGCCTTGGGGCCCGGGAAGGACAGCTAGGAACTACAGTAGGGATGGAAGCATGGATGCTGTCCAAGCCTGGCCAGGGCCCTCCCTGGCCCCTATCTCCCAAGGCTCAAGGGGTCTTGACCCTTTTCCAAGGGAGGGCCACTAGGGACACTATGCCTCATGGGACTCCCTCCAGGGTCACACTGCCTATCCTGGGCTGAACAGAGAGAGTCAGGGTCTGAGATGTAACCCCTTCTCTGAGGCAGCTTAGTTTCTGAAGCCAGCAGCTGACTGCAAGAACCCTGAGACCTTAGACAGGGGACAGGGGATGACACGGGGTCCCAGCCTGGTGGGACAGTGAGAAAGGTAGGCTCTGGGAGCCCATGCCAGCTGCTTCAGGCCTGGACCCGAGTCCTTGCCCCCACTTCCAGCATAAGATCCGCAGGCAGGGTCCCACAGGAGGGAGCTTCAGTCTAGGTTCTGCCCAAACCAGTGCCAGCTGTTGGCGAAAGAGGCTAGGGCTCCTCTACTCGGCCAGTCCATCGTCCCACAGGGGCACCCTCAGTTCCTTCAGGAGAAGTAGCCTCAACAAGTGCTTAGTGGTCACTTCCTTTCTGTGCTGGGGCAGGAGGCACCAGCATAGGTAGGATTGCAGTGGGCAGTGGATATCTGGGAGCACCTTCCTGCGAGATCCTGAAGGAGAAACTAAGGCCTGCAGTAGGTGACCAGCTGGCTCTCTGTCGCCTCAAACCCTTTACTTTCTCAAGCGACATCACCCAAAGAACTGCAGCTGAGATGCGAGCGCCCCACGGGTGAGCTGGAGATCCAAGCGGGCGCCGCCTACCCCGAGAAGCCCCGCCCCAGGCCAGGCGCGCGGCTCACCACTGACTCAGTCCCAGTCTGGGTTTCGTTCTGGGCTAGACTTTCGGCGGATGAGCTTCCCAGGGCGGGGCAGTGTCCACTTCCTCACCTCCCTTTGGATCTAAATCCCCTGAGCTGACTGGGATGACCCTTAGCTGTGCAAAACCGCGACGCACGCGCTGGCATACGACACCGAAGAGAGCGCAGAGCTGCGCTCAGACCCCAGGCCTGGCGACAGATGGGGACCTCGCCACCCCGACACCACGGGCAGCTGCCGCGCCGGCGGACACGCCCTCGGCTCACCGTCCCCGGGATGTAGTAGAAGATCTTGTCTGCCGCGGCGTCCCCGTCGGGGCCAGCCTCGGAGCCGAACAGGCCCGCCAGCTTCCTCGAGGCGTCCTCTCTGGGGACGAGTGAAAGGGGGTCTGGGGCTCGGCCTTCGGTCGGGTCGAGGGAGACCGTGTTCCCGGGTGGCCGAGGCCGCCCCTCTCACCTATTTCCCTTCAGCGAGGGTTTCCTGGAGAAGGAGGCCCGCAGCCTCCTGGGGGTCTGAGGGACGCAGTGGCTGTTCCCCATGGGTCCCGGGGGGGGCGGGCGGGGACCGAGCCGGCAGACAGGTCTGGGTCCCTGGGTCGGGATCCTCCTGCCCCTGCCTCCCAGGAGCGGGCGGGGTTGTGGGACGGCTCCCCGCCTACTCAGGGGTGGGGGGAGGAGCCTTCCTGGGAGGGGCTTGGCTCCACCTGAGCCCAGCCTCCCAATCGACCTGGGCTCTTCTCCACAGCACCTCCTCAGGTGGGGGGCCGAGGCTACCAACCACCCAGGAGGATCAGCAGCGCCTGCTCTGTGGGCACCACGCCTGCCTGTGTTCAGGTTGGGGGTGACTGGGCACTAGAGCCCAGGAATCCAGTGACCTTCCCTTCTAGTTGCCCACCCCCCAACCTGAGCACACATCCGGTTTTTATGCTTATCCCAATTGGTCTGAGTCACTAGGAACTGTCAAGAGTGTGCTCACCCTCAGCCACAGAAGCAGGAGTTTGCAACCATGGGGAAGGGGAAGCCAGAAGCCTGGGGCCAATTCTCACTCCAAGCATAAGTCAGAGTCCCCAAGACTTAACTAAATGCAAGAAGGTCACACATTTCCCAGGTGCCCAGACAGTAATGGCAGCGTGGAGGGCCTATCCTCCACAAGTGATCCCAACCCCAAAACCTGGAATGTCACAGGGAATTTTCAGGACCAGGTAGCCCACCTCCCCTGCCTCCCCCTGCAAAAGTGCTACCTTGCAGTCCCCAGGCACTAATGCTCCCTTTTCAGCCACGCTGCACACTTGTCCACAGAACCTCACACTAGAGCCCAGACAGGACCCCAGGCTGTGCTGCACCTCCACAAGGCAGAGAACTAAAAGGGGCCAGAGATGGACGCTTAGTCTCTGGCTCAGGGAGCCCAAAAAACGTGTTTATTGTTCAAGATGGCTCATATTGCTGAGTAGGGTCTGAGTGCATGTGCCCCAGCCCCATGTGAGATCCAGAAAAGACACCAGACTGCAGACACAGGATGCAGGAAGGGAGCCTGCTTCGTGCCCTTCCTGGGGACAGCCCTGGCTGGGCCAGGTAAGGGAGTGTGCAAAGTTCAGACTACCTGTCTGCACCTGCTTAAAAATCCCTGCCCTGCTCCCGCTCCACCAACTCTGGTTATTATGCTGCTCCTGACCCAGAGTCTATAGAGTACCATTGGGCCACTGACCTCCCTGCAGCGAGTGGCCACCCTATCACCCCTCACTGCCTGGAACAAGGAACTGGGTGGAGGACACTCGGAGGGCAACTTGGTCCCCTGTGCACACAAGTGCCCACGCTTTGAGAGTAAACATATGAATTGGTAACTGCAGCGGTGCTCATCCATCAATAAATAACGAATTAATACATAGGTGAGTAAATAAATAAACAGCACACACATAGAGGAACAAGGAGTGAGCAGAGACGTGAAGAGACAGTGCAGGACGTCTCTGGTGGGGCCACGTCCAGCCCCTGACACATGGCTGAGGAGAGGGAGGTGCTGGGGTCGACCCGAGGGGCTTAAGGCATGTGGGAGGCAGCGGGGCCTCTCTGTGGTCGGTGCTGTGTGTCAGAGGCTGGTGGAAGACACAGACAGCGTGGGGGAGGAGGGTGGCGGGAAGTTGAGCAGCTCCAGCACTGCCACGCCCACACTGCTGCGCCGTGTGAACATGCAGGAGGCAGCTACCCACTTGTTGGTCCTTGGGTTGTACTTCTCGATGGAGTTGAGGCTGGAGCTGCCATCATTGCCGCCCACAGCATACAGCCAGCCGTCCATGGCCACCAGGTCATGTGTGCTCCTGGGGATGGGCAGCCAAATGAGTTGTGTGGGTGGGACCACAGGAGGAGCCACTGGGTTGGGGGCAGATCCACTGGAGGAGCCAGGGGCGGGGCCACAGGAGGAGCGGGGGCGGGGCTGGGTGTCCCCAGTGGAGTGGAGCCAGTGGAGCTGATGTACTGCATTGGCTAGAACGGCCCAACTTGGCCTGCAAACCTGCGAATGTTCATGGGTGCCACGCTCTCCCAGGCGCCAGCCTTGGGGCTGTATCTCTCCACTGAGTTGAGGCAGCTGGTGCCATCATTGCCCCCGGCCACATACAGGGCGCCCTCCAGCACCGCCACACCTGCAGAGCTGCGCCGGCTCAGCATGGAGGCCACCGGGGTCCATGCATTCACCTGTGGTGGTGAGGCCTGAGCTGAAGGCTGACACAACAAGGGCACCCCACCCATCCCCCTAAGCAAACCCTAACCCAGGCAGGATATCTGTGAGACAGGGTGGATATGAATGGCTGGCCTGAGGGTGGAACCCCCAGGCAGCAGTGGGCTGGGGGGGGGGACTGCCATGGGGTGCACTATGCACCTGGGGCTCATACTTCTCCACAGTGGCCAGGTGTGAAGAGCTGTCATATCCACCCACAGCATACAGGTTCCCATCTGCGGAAGGCAATATACCCTGGTGCTCCTGCTGGGTGGGGGGTGCAGGTAGGAGGGTGGGCACCACAGGAAGCAGGCCCTTTCACCCACCGAGTGTGGCCACGCGCACATATCGCCTCCGGGTGCTCATGGCAGCGATGGATGTCCATGTTCCCGTCAGGGGGTCATAGCGTTCAGCGCTGTGGGCACCAGACTGCTGCTGACCCGTAGCCACAACAGAAAGGTTGTCCAGCCCCAGGACCTGCCCTCCCCCATGGAACAGCTGAAATCCCAAGGAGGCCACCACGAAGACTCTGACTCAAGTCCTACCATAGCCAACAGCAGGACCTGTGGGGTGGGCATGGGTGGCTGCCTGGTTGGGTATTCCTGGGCAAGTGTCCCCTTTGGGCCCAGCCCTAGACTGGAGGAGAGGACCCCACGAAGGAAAAGGGATGGGGAGAGACCAGGCCTAAGAACTGCTTGGCCTGAGGTAAAGAGGCTTTGGGGACCCTGGTGGCCTGGGCAGGCAGTACCCTTGCCATCCCCCTTCAGACACAATTTGGTACAGCCTCACCTCCTGCTGCCGAGCCACCCTGCAGGGTCATGGGGGCCTCAACCCCAGCTACTACCTGTTGAGACAGGAGGCCCCATCGTAGCCGCCAGCTGCGTACAGGAGCCCGTGCAGGGCAGCTACGCCCAGGCAGCTGCGCCTCGTGCCCATGGACACCTCAGGTTGCCATGTGTTGGTCACAGGGTCATACGATTCCACAGTAGCCAGGTCTGAGGTCCCATCATAGCTAGGAGAGGGGTCCACTACTGGTCAAGGAAGGCCTAGCAGGCATGTGCCAAGCCCCGAACCCAAGCCTGGCCTCTATGCTTACCCGCCCACAGCATACAGCCGGTTTCCTACAGCAGCCACTCCCACTCGGGCCCGGCGTGTGGACATGGAAGCTACTACGTGCCAGCGGTCAGTTCGAGTGTCATATGCTTCACAGTCCCCATGGATGGCAAAAAGACTCCCGCCACCTAGGAAAGGGGAGGTGACAGGATAGGAGGAGAGGCACTGGGAGGCAACCAGTGGGAGTCTAGCATAGCCTGAGAGCAAGAGTATTGGGACTCTGGGGGTGGATCACACTCCACAGGGCCTGGAGAGACCCTGGATGGAGGAGGAGGGAGCAGGTCAAGACCTGACCAATGTGGTGGGCTGGGCTTGTGTTGGGTATGGCCAGGGCAGGGGTGTCAGAGGAAGGGGCCAGATGGGCATACCCACGGCAAAGAGCACAGGGCCGGCACCCTCACAGCGCCGGGGCCGTGTGCGGCTGGTACCCAGTACACCTCTCTGCTCGGGCAGCAGGTGGAACTTGAGGGCCTCAATGAGCAGATCCTTGCAGTCAGGGTGATGCCTCACCAGGCTCTCAGCATCCACGTGGCCCAGCAGGAAGTCGCGGCTCAGCAAGGGCAGCCGCACACACTTCATCAGCTGGGGCAGGAGTGCCAGGGTCAGGGGACCCTCAGGCACACTTGCCCCAGGGCTGAGACCCTGGCTCAGATGCCTGTACCACCTGTACGATGGGTTCTTGAGACAGATGCCTGCACTGCCCCCATGGTGTCCCTGAACGGGAGAGGCCAGGGACTCCATGAGGCACACCCAGGCTTCAGCCACCATGGTCCCTCCCCAACACCACAAGGGGTCCCGAGGCCTGGCCTTACTCTTGGAACGTGCTGCCTCCGAGTGTCCACGTCATGTTTGACCCAGCTCAAGACAGCACGGTAGACATCTTCTTCTGAAGGTACATTCAGGCTGTCACTAGAGACCAATTCCAGCACCTGGGGATAGGGGTCCTCAGGCATGAGATCTGGGGAGGGTCCTGCGAGTCCAGGGAGCCCCCTGAAGGTACCTGGGAGGGAGGGTCTGGAGGTGGTGGTGGGGTCAGTGTTTCTACAGGAAGGGGCCCAGCAGGGTCAGGAGCTGTGGATTGGTTCCTGGGGGCCTAGATCCCAAATAGTCTTGGGGACATGGAACCAGGACTGGGGTTTAGGAGCAGAGGCTGTTAAGGATGAGATGAGATGAAGAGTCCAAGGCAAAGACCTGGGTAGAGCCAGGAGATGGGAACAGGGTTGGGGGTGCCCAGGCGACAGGTCACAGGGTGGGCATGGGTCAGAAGCTGGGAACGAGGCCTGGGGAACAAAGAGCAAGGGGTGAAGGAGGGTGCAGGGGTGGGAAGGGGCAGGGTGTGGGTTGGGCCCTGTGGGCAGGTTACCTGCTTCAGCGGCAACAGCATGAACTCCTCGGTCTTGGCCACGTCCACAAAGTGCTGCAGCACATACCTGTGTGCTGCCTTGAGCAGGTCACTGCACGAGTGCGTATCGGCAAAGCCCCGGATGCCCAGGCAGTTGGAGGGGTCCAGCTGACTCAGCAGGAACTTGCAGCAGGCATCCCGGACGCCATTCAGCTGCAGCAGGCTGGCAGCTGGGAGCAGCGTCTGTGGAACATGGAGATGGGGTCTGGTGGGAGGTGCCCAGGCTGTGAAAGTTTTGGTTTGGGGAGAGGCCTGTGAGGGGCCAGGGCATGGGGAGACCTGGCAGGAGGCCCACTGCCTCACCTGTACGTTGCCCTCGCCTACTACAATCTCAGCCGTGTATGCAAACTGCACCAGTTGGTCCAAGGCCTGAGGGTCAATGTCATGCAGTGTCACATGAGTCTGGCGGCTCTCACTCATCTCATCTGTGGGGACAGTAGTCAGGCTCGTACCTGTCCCGGGAGAGCTGCAGAGAGCCCCCAAGTGCCACCCAGACTGTGGTACTTGCTTGTGAACATGGCGTGGAAGTAGGGGCTACAGGAGGCCAGCACCACCTTGTGTGCACGGATCTCCTTGGCGGCCACATGCAGGACGATGTCACACAGGAGGCCACGCTGCCGCATTCGGCTCATGGCTACGAAGGCATCATGGTAGTGCCGCTTGGAGTTGTGGGCCACACTATGGCCCTCGCGGCTCAGTAGCTGCATGGCACCTTCCATGGGGGCTGCGGGCCGGGCCTGCCTGGGCCGCGCTCGCTCTGCCTCTGGGCTGCAGGTGGGCAGGGCCAGGTCAGGGTTAGCCCTGTAGGGGGCTGCTCACCCACCTCCTCTGTGCCACCAGACTTCTGGGTATGGCCAGGGCAGCCAAGTCAGCCATCTGTCCAGTAGTCCAGTGGCCATAACGTCTGCATCAAGGCCCACCTAGTCATGCTGCCCGCCTGGAGCAAGACCTCCCCTCCTGTACAGAGAGCTACCCTGGAGCCAGACCAGACTCTCTTCTAAGCCTACTCCCACTGGAGACCATCGGGACACTGCTGCCCTGACTGTCCAGCTTCCTCTGCCCACCTCCCTTCTCAGCTACTAAGTTCACTCATCTCTTGTTCCCCTTGAGAGACAGGTGTCCTCTACCCTCCTCTACAGCACAGGGCTCCTGCCTTGCCAGCCACCCTTCCCACCCCTCAGCAGGACTGGGAATGTGGGAGGTGTTCGCAGGGAACCGGCCGATGCCCGCTTTAAAGCAGACCCCTTGGCCCCTACAGCAGGTGGACCTCCCGTGGTGGAGGGATTCAAGGGCAGGCAAGGGGCTTAGGGCCTCTCTTTCCAGGGGTCAGCACCCCTGGCCCTCCCGCAGCACTCAGGACTTCCCAGAACCGCTGCCGTGGCCGAAGGACCGAGGAGCTCGGACTTCACACGGCCCAGGCCTGCGGCAGCCTCTCGGGCGACGCCGTCCTCCCGAGTCCCCCGGTCCCTCCGTGGGTCCTCGGCGCCGCCCGCTCTCCGCCCCACTCACGCCGGCGGCTGCGGCTGTGGCGGCGGCGCCTCGGGCCCGGGCCCCGGGCTGCCGTGCTCCGGGCTCTGCGTCCTGCCGGCCGGGCGCTCGCCGCGCGGCTGCATCAGCTCGGCCACCGAACTGCCGCCGCGAAGCGCGCAGGACGAGCGAGCGCGACTGCTGGAAGGATGCTCGGCAGCGGTGGCCCCTCAGCGTCGCGCGCCTCCCCGGCTGCAGACGCTGTTTCTCGGCGCCGCCCGCCCCATCTCTCGCGCTCCGAGGAGGCTTCGAGGATCCGCGTTGGACACGGGTCAGCCCGGAGTCGCGTCACCGGATCGATTCCTCTCGTAGCCCTCGGGCCCCGCGTACAAGCTCCGGGCGGACCAGCTCCGGGCCCCAGATGGCCAGCCACCTGCCGGTTGTGCTGTGGTGGGTCAAGCCTTGGGCCGTGCGCTGGCCGTTTGGTCCAGCCGTCCAGGCCCGCGGACCCCGCAGCCTGGAAGGAGGAATGCATCCTCTCCGCCCAGCCCCGGGCCCCTGGCCAGACACTCGAGTGCGTTTTCCGTGGGACCTCGCTGCACGGAATGTGGATGGTGCTGCCAGGGGCTGCTGACCGTCCAGCGAGATGGACACAGGGCTCTTGCTCCGACCTCGCGTCAGGCGAAGCCAGTCCCGCCTCCCAGCATGCTCGGATGCCTGTCAGACTGTCTATCTGTAGCCCCGCGGTTTCTGTTTTCACTGTTTTCTCCATTAGACCCTGGGCTTGTCACTGGTTTGTGTGTTCTTAGAAGTCTCCACTGTCGCACGTTTTGTCTGTTGTCAGCGCCCTGCACACGCACGGGTGGGCCGCGGACAGGGCCTCGATTCCCCAGGTGGGAGCTGTTATTTCAGCGTGTCACGGAGAAGGACGCAGAGCTCTGACCGGGCCCGGCCCGCGTTGGGCGAATGAATGCCAGAGCCGTGCCAGAATCCACCTGAGGCCAGGAGGGTGCGAACGCGCCCTCCCGCCTGGAAGCCACCGGCTACGCTGTCGAGAATCGCAGAGCCAGCGACAGGGCGGGGCTCGGCCGGGGGCGGGGCCGACCCGGAGGTAGTGCGGTAGCGCGCGGCTTTCTGGGGCCGGAAGTGCGGCGCACGCGGCGGGCTCGGCGTCATGGCGGAGGCGAGGGGCCGCAGGAGGTCAGTCTGCTGTATTCCTGGCGGGAGCCTGTGCTCCGGGCTGCCCTCACCCCGGTCGAAGGCTGGGGCTAGTGGGCTGGCGCCTTGTGACCCTCCGTGACCCGCAGGCGCCTGGCGGAGCTGACGGTGGACGAATTCCTGGCCTCAGGCTTCGACTCCGAGTCCGAGTCGGAGTCCGAGGGCGCCCCGGAGGCGGCGACGCGGGAGCGGGAGGCACGCGGACGTGGAGCTGCGCGGCGTGTGGAGCCCGGCAGGGGCCCCGCGGCCCGGTAAGCCGGCGCCGCCTGGGTGGCGCGCTGTGCCTGCCCCCCTCCGGGTGGGGCGGGCGCTGGCGGGTGACGCAGAGCGGCGTTTCTGACCCGGGGGAGTCCGCGCGGGGCGCTCAGGAGCCAGCGGGGCCGGAGGGAGCGGAGAGCCGGGCAGCTCCACGCCCGCAGCCCCAGCCCCTGCGAAGGCAGAGGCAGGAGAGCCCCAGTTTGAGGCCGGCCTGGGCCGTTTATCAGTCCGCTGGGCATGTAGCTCAGCCAGCGCTTGAGTGGCCCAACTTGGGAGGGCGCCACCTGAGTTCTGAGCGACAGCCCGGAGGGGTAGGCTGGGTGGACAGTACAGCAGGAACGGAGGAGGCCTTGAAGTGCGAACCGGTGAGGACGGGGTGACTGGCAGGAGCAGAGGGAAAGTAGCTGGAGATGCACCCAGAGGGGTGGGTGGGTGATGAGGAATCAGGTGAGACCACCCAGTAAAACGGGACGTTTCCCCAGAGCGGGAGCTGTGAAGCCACGTCGTGTAACTTTTTTTTAAAAAAGGGAAAAGGTCACTCCAGTTTCTGTGCCAAAAAGGATCGTAGGTGACAAGGGTGGGAATGGATGTGGTGGTTTGCAAGGAGACTTTGGTGGCTTTGAAGATGTTGTTGATGAGTTCTAGGGACAGGTCTTTTGCGGGGACTGCAGTAGAGCCTGGTGCCAGCACAGCAAGTCTGCGGAGAGCACAGGTTGAGTGTCTGTGTGCTAGAGGTTAAAACAGTGGGGAGAGGCTTCTGGGTACAGGAGTCCAGGAGAGAGTTGTGTTTTCTGAAAACTTAACATTGTGGGAAACCTCCTGCTTGTTGTTGATGGCTGCTGGGCAGGGAGCAGAATAACCCTGTGGCCTCTCTGAGGAGGCCCACAAGTGGCTATATGGACAAGAAGCCAACCCCCTGCTGGTTTTTCACTGGCTTACTGACTCCTGCCTTCTCAGTGGGCATAAAGGCAGTGCCTCTGAGCACAAGGACCAGCTCTCTCGTCTGAAGGAAAAAGATCCAGAATTCTACAAGTTCCTGCAAGACAATGACCAGAGCCTGCTAAACTTTAGTGACTCAGACAGCTCTGAGGAGGAAGAGGAGCAGTTTCACTCCTTGCCAGGTGCACTGGAGGTGAGGACAACACAGACCTGTCCAGCAGGGCACCTCTGGCTTCTACACCCTCCCCCAGCATGACTCTTCTGTATCTGGTGTAGGAAGCAAGCGAAGAAGAAGATGGAGGAGAGGATGGGGACAGAGTCCCTGCAGGACCTCAGCGGAAGAAGAATGAGTCTGTTCCTGTGACCCTTGCCATGGTGGAGAAATGGAAGCAGTCTGCAAAGGTGAGAAGAAGGAGTGTGGTCTGAGCAGCTGGACCCCACCACAGGCAGGAGTCTCTCCCTTGTCTCATTGAGGTGCTCATGGCTGTACAGGTGGGAAGAGCCCTTCTCTGAGCAGCACACAATGTCCACGTGTGTAGAGTGCTATGGTGCCCTGGTTGGGATTCTTCAGTCATAGTTCAGCTTTTCTCTCAGGGGCTCTGCTCCCTGAAGTAAAGCCATTGTGGGTGTGTCTGTTAAGTGTATCTTGGTGTAGTTTCTCTTGCTTTATAGTGGGATGCCAACAGATAGTTCGTAAAGAAAAGATATTTAGTCCTAGGAATGTAGCTCAGTAATAGAGTGCCTGCTTAGCATGTATGGACTCTGGGTTCAATCCCCCAGCACTAGGAAAAAAAGAAAGAAAGAAAGAAAGAGAGAGGGAGGGAGGGAGGGAGGGAGGAAAAGAAAGAAAAGGTGTTTACTTGGCTCACAGTTCTGGAGGTGGGAAGTACAACAGCATGGTGCAGCATCATCACATGGCTGGTGAGACAGCAAGCTTGCTCCTCCAACTCAGGACTCTCAGCCTTTTCCCCTGGGGCTCCTGAGCTGGGCTCATTCCCTTTCCAGGAGGATTATAGACTTGTCTCTATTTTAGTTGCCAGAACATGGCTTAGTGGCCCTGCCCCTACCTCTGCCCTATTTCTGAGGGTGTGGGGAAGGGTCTCTTTTCTCTCAGGAGCAGGTTCTTGGAGTCAGTTATCTCTTGCTCTGCCTTGTGCAACCTCCTGCTCCCCCAGAGTTATTGGTCTCTTGCTCCTTCAGCACCTCACTCCCAAGCTGTTCCATGAAGTGGTACAGGCCTTCAGAGCAGCTGTTGCTACCACCCAAGGAGACCAGGAAGGTGTTGAGGCCTGCAGGTTTCAGGTTACAGACAGCACTGGTGAGCAGGGTCTACAGGGCGGGTCAGGCTGGCTTACTTGCTCTCCTGTGAGTGACATCTGTGTCCCTTCCTCACAGTGTTCAATGCTCTGGTCACCTTCTGCATCAGAGATCTCTTTGGATACCTACATAAGCTGCTGTTTGGAAAGGCCCCAAAGGATACCAGCAGGTGAGAGAAATGGGGTGATCAGAGCTCTGCTCTGCAAGAGAGGACACTGTCCCCAGGACCTTGGCTCACCTAAGACAGAGGCATGGCAGACTTTGGGGGTTCCTGAGAAGGAAGAGCAAAAGAGGCCTTTGGGGGATGTACTCTTGCCATTGGGGGTGGCGCCACTCCTTGCCTTTTTCTTCCAGAAAAGAAATTCTATGCTGAGGATTTCTTGAGAGCGTGGTGTGTGCTTGTTTTTTTTTTTTGGTATTGGGTATTGAACTCGGGTGCTTAACCACTGAGCCACATCCCCAGCCCTATATTTATATTTTATTTAGAGACAGGGTCTCACTGAGTTGCCTAACGCCTTACTATTGCTCAGGTTGGCTTTGAACTTATGATCCTCCTGCCTTCACCTCCTGAGATGCTGGGATTACAGGCGTGCACCACTGTGCCCAGCGAGTGCTTGGTTTTAATCTTAGATTTTCCCAGGGCTTGGAAATCCAACTTCTGTCGGGACACCTTTGAAAGAAAGGCTCCACTGGGCTGTCAGCATCATGAGGGGTTGTACCTTCACTAGTGCATGAGAGTGTTCATGTGTGTGTAGGCAATGCAGACCAAAGGGGTCAGGCGAGGAGGGTGGAGGACAAAGCAGTGAGATGAGCAGGCAACAAGACAAGTGGTCCATGCAGCTGGACCTTGGGGAGCAGCAATAGGGGATCCACAGCTGATGCTGACTGAGATGCCTAAAGGGAGCTGAATGGAAAACTCTCAGGGCCCTGCCTTTGGTCCTTGGTGTGTTTAGCCGATTTCTGTGAACATCGAGAAACTTACAGGAACCCGGCTTTTGTTGTCAGATGTTCAGTCTAGAAGATTTAAGGTTCCAGAGTTTTAGGGAAAAATGTTTGTGAATGTGCATGGTTGGGTCTTCTTCCCAGTGCGTAGGGGCCAGAGCCACCACTCTGCACCAGTGAATGGTGCCTGGTTAGGCCCAAAGGTCCTGAGTGCTGCTGAAGGTTGTGGTGTGACAGGGCCAAGGGAACCCAGAGGAGGCTGGTGTATGAGGGATGCAACTGGGCCCTTCTGGGAAGAATAGGACTCAGTATTTCAGAGGGCAGTTGCTCTGCTTTGGCTAGGTGGGTGGTCTGTGGGAAGGGCTGGTGCTGCTTTACTGGGGGGGTGGGCAGCTGTGTCTGTCAGCTGTACAAAGCCCCTCAGCTTTTTGTGGAAAGAGGTGGGAAGTCTGCTCAGGGCAAGGTATGGTCTGAGACTCACTGAGGCAGCCTTGAGTCTAAGCTGCAGGAATGGGGATGATTTGGTTTCTGCAGGATGCTGCAGCCGTCCAGCAGTGCGCTCTGGGGGAGACTCCGCGTGGACATCAAGGCATACCTAAGTGCAGTCATGCAGGTGCTGTTCCTGTGGGGAAGGAGCATGGAAGCCCAGTTCACAGGCAGGGCCCTTGCCATATTGGGTGGTCCAGTGTTTTTTGTGCCTCAGACTCACTGATAGTGCCTCACAGCCCCCTTCTGCTTCCCTAGCTGGTGACCTCTCTGGCAGAAGCTACCGTGTCAGCGGCTGTCCTGCAGCACATCAGCAGCCTTGTGCCTTACTACCTAACCTTCCCTAAGCAGTGTCGCATGTTGCTCAAGGTGAGCAGGCCCATCACGCTCTGTTGGTGTGGCTGGTGGTGCACACAGCCACCCCACAAATACATCCATTCCTGCTCAGGGCAGAAGTGTCACCTGCACCTACACTGGCTTCTGGCCAGCTCCTTTCCAGCCCTCCTCCACCTGGGTACCTCATCTAGAGCATCCCCCAACCCAGGCAGGCCAGCATAAATCGGTGATGTGAGAACAGGTTGCACTCAGGCATCTGTGTCCTAACAAGTTTTGAGAGCTGGAGTCGTTATACATTCTCACGCACACCTAATAGTAAAGGCAAGTTGTCACGGTCTTGCCTCTAAAGGGCGTGACATATTGTGTTCTGTGTTTTGGGAAGGGCTGTCTCCCAGCAGTAACACAGGAGCCTCAGGCTTTTGGCTTAGGGAGGCATGTGCTGGCTCTAGGGGTTCCTGGGTGAGAAGGCTGGGGCAGACAGTGACATCTTCCCTTTTCAGAGAATGGTGGTTCTATGGAGCACGGGTGAGGAGTCTTTGCGGGTGCTGGCTTTCCTGGTCCTCATTAGAGTCTGCCGGCACAAGAAGGACATCTTCCTGAGCCCTGTCCTGAAGGTAGTGTGGGCCCTGAATCTGTCCACTAGGTTCTGTCTTGGGAATCAGCCTGAGGGTCTAACAGGCTGCCTTTGTGGTCAGTGCCCTTAGCTGGGCCCTGGCATCACGGCTCAGGGCACATTAAGATCCTCAGATCCCATTCCTCACCAAGAATGTCGGAGTGCTGACAGACACAGGAACCCTCAGCCTTCTGGGCTCTACCTCGACTCTGCTTCACATAACCGTCCCCAAGGGGGAACATCTTGTTAGTGGATGAGAACTTTCTACAGGAAGAATAGAATAGGTCTGAGGTCACAGCCAGCATCCAAACCCTGCTGTCCAACTCCAGACCTAGGGGGGCCCATCTGTGTAGCAGGGACCCTCTGAAACCCTGATACTGGCCCAGCGTGCAGCACCCCTCACCACACACCTTCCCTGCAGGGTCCCTCTGCATACCTTAGACTGTGTAAGTCTGGCAAGCATACGCTTGGGCATATGCATGAGGATGAGCAGCATCAGAATCCTGAGGATTGAGGGTCTGTTCAAGGGGGTCTGCAGCCATTGGCTTGGCTGTAGTTCCTGCTTGAGGCAGCAGCTCCAAGAGAAATGTCTAGGTGTTGGCAGATGGCTTGGAGCCAGGTAGTGGGTGTTCGGGTGCCTCTGACTGGAGTCTCTCTGGCAGCAAATGTATATCACATATGTGAGGAACTGCAAGTTCACCTCTCCAGGCACTCTGCCCCTCATCAACTTCATGCAACGGACATTGACTGAGCTGCTTGCCCTGGATCCCAGCATCTCCTACCAGCACGCCTTCCTCTATATCCGCCAGCTCGCCATCCACCTGCGCAGTGCCATGACTATGGGCAAAAAGGTGCACACAGCCATCCCTCCAGACTCGGGAGCCTGACCAGCAGAGGGCCTGGGGGCCTCCTTGAATCCAGGCCTAGCACCTTGGTGGATGTGGGCACACAGAGGAGGGGGCACACTTGGCTACTGTCCTGGGTGCTGACACTCAGGCAAACTCTGCTCTGTCCAGGACACGTACCAGTCAGTGTACAACTGGCAGTATGTCCACTGCCTCTACTTGTGGTGCCGCGTCTTGAGTACCCTTGGCTCCAGCGAAGCCCTCCAGCCTCTGCTCTATCCCCTCTCGCAGGTGGTCATTGGCTGCATCAAGTGAGTTCATCGGGCAAGTTTTTGGCCAGTAATTTTGTGTCCAGGGTCTTTGGGTCTTGGCAATCCCTGTTGGGCAGGGCTGCTTGCAGTCAGTTTCGCTGCAGAGTGCTCTGTGCTCTGAGGGCTGAATAAGCCCAGCAACGGTGTGAAGGCCTTTTTGGTTTCTTGTGAGGTGCTTTGTGCCAGTCTGACCAGGAGGGGGCATCTTTGTCCTGAAAAGCATCCTCCTGAGCTTTGGCCATTAGACTAGGAGGGAAGGTGGAAGTCCAGGGGAGGGAGCCCTGAAAGCAGGGAATGGGGAAGAAAGGGAGCCAGGAATGAACAGCCCCCACCCATGTTAAAGTGTAGTGAATATGAAAGCTGCATGGGTGTTCCTCCGATCCCATCGCTGAGCAAGGAAGCAGATGCTTAGACCAGTACCAAGTTCAAAGTGTTTTGTGGTACCCTGTTCTGTTTGGGGGAATGTGATGCTACTTCCTGTTGGCATTGTGACTCCTCACCTGGCTGGAGTGACAGGAAGGCCCTCCTGGGGGTTCAGAGGCAGTGAGTAGCCAAAATTGGTGTTGAGTGATGACTTAACCAGCCTCTGTCCCTTCCTGCCTTGCCCCTCCCAGGCTGGTCCCCACTGCCCGCTTCTACCCCCTGCGCATGCACTGTGTGCGTGCCTTAACACTGCTGTCAGAGAGCACCGGCACCTTCATCCCAGTGCTGCCTTTTATCCTTGAGGTGAGTGGGTTCTGCAGTCTTGGGTCAGGGTACTTCAGTTCTGCTGCCTGCCCCTGAGTCTGCTGTGGGAGGTCCACATCACTTCCCTGAGCTTTGCATGGGTTCAAGGAGCACATTACTCTGCTCAGCACTTTACCTCCTAAGCTGGTTGTGAGTGTCAGTCACGTAGGCTCTGAGGGTTGAGCCTGAGGACACTGGGTTTACAATCAGGGAACAGACTCTGGCCACAGAGGTATTTGCTCAGGACTGCAGCAGGCAGGAGAGCTGGGCTTCAAACCCAGGTTTGTGGTTTCAGAGCTTCCAAGGCCCTGCCTGGACCACTATGTGCACTTGAGCACCAGTGCTGCTCTGAGGGGGCAGGTTAGTGTCAGGTTAGGCCTTAGCCCACAGGATGTTCAAAGACTCGCTGTCTCCGGGTCATAAGGAAAGAGAACCCATGCCTGTTCCCATTCCCTTCCACTGAGGCAGGTTGCTGTTTGTGCTTTGTGAAGCTGTTGTGGAAGCCACATGTATTTCCCTGTGACAGCAAGGTGTGATTCCTAACTGCCCCTGCTGTGGCCTCTCTACCTTGGCACCCCCCTGAGGGCCTCCTACCCTGCCAA